AGTACGATAATTTGAGTTTAAAATGAAAGTCTCAGTGCTAAAGTCTAAAGTATATTTGACATTTGATATTTAAAGATAGATTTGGACTTTATTAACTTACTAAAAGATCAATTTTCTAGGGCAAAAATGTTAAAGGAGTTTTCTTAACTCTTCTGAAACAGGAATATATTAGCACTCAAAACATGCAGTAACATGAACATGTAACTTTCATGTTACTGCATGTTTGGACATGGCAGGAAAAAAGGGGGATGTTCATCTGACAATGAGGATGTGAACTTGGTGAGAGCGAGAGTGAGGAGGAGTGGATCTCAAAATGATGTTTGAGGAGCACTTACAGTAGGAGGTCAGGAGTCAATTAAGGGTCACTGTTGTGTGCCTGAATGTCTCACTGGATGATTATGACTGACTAGAAGACCCCAAACTCTGTTTCACATTCATCAGCATCTGTTCCCCACAGAACAGTTATCAAACACACAGAAACATATACAATCAATTACACAAGCAGACTAGCTCATGCATGCATGCATACCCTTGGAATTTGATGATGTAAATATTAAAAGGCACTTCCAGGCTCCCTAAAAGTAGGATGAATTATTTTTTTCTTCAAAAAAATGAAAGTCATGCCGTAGAGAGTTGGATGACTCTTTTTATTTTCAGTGTGCTGTAAGTGTGATACAGATTCTCTACCGGAGAAATATGTTTTATACATGTAACCTGCTGACAACAACATCTGAGGTGTCTGCAGGAACATGGAAGGCCCCAGTCCACGAAATCTTTAACGCACACCTCCAAAACCCAAATCCAAAAACTCAAGCTTCAGTTGAAAAAATACATTTACCCAGTGAAATAATGCAGCCTGCATTAAACATAGGTAAGTCCTAAAAATATTTTTAATGCACAAAATATTAGCAGGTAACGAGCTGACATTAGGAGCCTTTTAAACTCATTAACTGTAAGCCAGAAATCTGATCGATAGGTGATCAAATACTTATTACCTTCATGAAAATGCAAATTCATATATACGTTTTTTGAAATGCTTTTTTGGGGACTTTTTTGTTATTGTTCTGCCTCTCACTGTTCAAATAAACCTACCACTGACATTATAGACTGATCATTTCCTTGTTAGTGGGCAAAATTACAAAGTCTGCAGGGGTTCAAATCATTTTTCCATGACTGTATCTGGTGTGTTAGCAGGGTAGTGATGAAGGCTGTCAAATTTGATCATAAGACAAATTATGGCTAAACTGCTCACATGTGGGGCATCAGTCCCTGTTACTTAGTTTGTCATTTATTTCATTTGAGCATTAAAAAGGAATTTTATATAGACTCCTTGAGCAACATGGCAGCTACAAAGAGATATCTAACTTCAACTCATACCCTTTCAGAGCCTGGTTCTGCTAGAGGTTTCTTCCTGTTTAAATTGTGTATGTCCTTCCCACTGTCACCAAGTGCTTACGCAAAATTTTTTACCTTTTATTTTTGGAGTTTTCCCTCTTTTGTTTTAGGGTTTTTGCCCTACAATATAAAGGGGCAACTGTTTTTGTGATTTAATACAATATACTCATGTTTTCCCACGGCAAAATTAACTGCCCAACCTAAATCTATACAGTAAATGACTGGATTTTTTCATTTAAGTCATTTTATTGATAAATTAACATCTAAAAACGTTAGTACATCAGTTTCAGTCTTAGAATTTTTCTGGATTATGTCGCTTTTTTGCCTTTTTTGGATATGTCTGCTTTCCTGGAGTGCGAGTTAAAGCAGGAGCACAAAGAGAAATGTGAAGTGACAGAACAGCTTTGGTTACACAGAAGAAATTTAAAAAAAAAAGTTAGGCAGCTTCACACACTTTTTCAAACCCGAGCCCAGGAGGCTTTTATTTTTTACATTTTAATCTCATCATGTAAAAAATATGACCCTGTTCTGTTTGTTCAAATCCAGCAGAGAAATTGCATTTCTTAACCAGAGCGATACACACAGCCTACAGATATCAGTGCTTCCTCAGACCAAATAGCTTTATCCTCATCTCCCCAGGAAGCTGTGAGAGCTCACCACTGGCTGAAAGCAGATATTTAATCATGGTCAGATCTGGGCCAGGTTTCTGAAGATGTTTGTTACCAAAGGGGGAACGTCTTTATCTCTGTGAGAAAGCAAAAAGCTGCAGACTCTCTTTAGGATTTAGATTTTCTCTACCAAGCCTTCCGAGAAAGAGGTAGAGAAGAGAGAGGGAGTTTGTGCTGTGATCTAATGGCACACCGTAATGACTGATCTCATCACTATAAGCTAAATATATAAACCAAAGATCTGGAAACTGAAAATCTCGACAAAGGATAGGAAATCAGAGGGGTGTGCAGGCTCAGAAAGTGAATACAAGCCTCAGATTAACACAATATAACTGGTTAATGTGTATCGTGTAACATTTGTAACTCGTGCCATATAATAAAAATATACCAAACGTATGAGCTTAACGCAAAGAAGCCAAAGGAACGCTGTGTCACTGTGTTTGGCAGTGTACACAGAGCTGCATGGAAGAATGTCAAAAGGAGATCTTCTCTACCTGGGTTGTATCCAGAAGTCATTTAAATAAAAGGAATAAACATTATCTTTCTTATCAACTTGTTTAGTGTTGATGTTTGCCTTTTGGGTTTTTTGTTGCTGTTGTTGAAAGATTACTTTTTTCATGTGCCTGAATTTGGTTTTACTTTGAGATTTTGTTTCCGTCCTCTGTGATTATCTAGCCTGCCCTCATCACCTGTGAGCTAAATTGCTCTGATTTTTCTTTAATCTTTAATGAAGTGCTCTTTTATTGTTCTGAGAATTTATGTGAATTTGTGTATTCACTTTTCTTTGCTTGTAGCATTTGCTGAATGGCTGTAAAGAAAGGCTGTCATCGTGGGTCACCTGCAGATTAATATGTCAGGGTTTTTGTTGTTGTTGCCTGTGCTAAACCCAAGGTGGAAATCTGCAAGTCATCATATAGTCACAAGCTGCACAAGGTTTTGTGGTATACGATGAAAAGTACCTCACATAAAGGGAAATGCAGCTACACTGAAGATGACAAACTTGTGATAGGTGTGTGAAGAGACAGAAGGTGATTCTCTAAGGAGAGTTTTTCCAGTGTTTTTGTCAGTTAATTGGGGATCTCACAAGAAATTTGTAATTAAAAAAGAGATGTACCAGCTGATAGATGCTTCCCCACTAAACCCAAATGATTACCACATGTAACGGAAACAGAAAAAACAGTTTGTTAACAGTTTATAAAGGTTATCGTGATTAATAAAATGAGAATATATGAGAAAAAAGAGACTGCATTCAAATAAAATCTGAATGCATATTCATATATGTATATACAGTATGTAAAGACTGATTCACATCTCAGGAAAACAAACCAAAGCACACAGCCAGGACAAGTCACTCCTTGCCCTTGAAAAATCCAGCGAAAGCCCAGCCTTACACCTCATATTATATCTGTGGTGAGGCCTGAAGACAGCAGTTCAAAGAGGCTTCCCATTCAATCTAATAGAGCTTGAAAGGATCTGTGAAACGGGATGAAAAAAACTGCCTGAATCCACATGTGTGAGACCTTCACGTGGTCAGGATGACCAAAAGCTATATGTGCTGCCCAAAGAATGTGCGTACTTTTGTGAATGAGAGATCTAAGTTTTGGCTTTTTATTAAACTTTCAAACAGTTCTGTTTGAAAGTTTAGTATTTTTTATCTACAGTGTAGATAAGCAATACTTGTTTTATCCATGTAAGGCAGGGGTGTCAAACATAAGGCCTGGATGCAGGAACCATGGCTCAATCCACCCTGTCTGATTGCTTTGGAGAATGTAAAAACTGTCCAGAAAAACTATTTATTTATTTAGTTTGGTCAATTTTACAATATTGTCAAATGTAAGCCCAAATAGCTGTGCTGGCAGGTTTCTTTAGATCCTTTCCCAAAGTCAAGAGTGCTTGAAAACTTTATTTAAAAGCCATAAAAATCACAGTTTGTTGGTTATCCAGTTGCTACCCAGTCATATGCAAAGTGTTAAGGCCAATGTGTGACCCACCTGTCACTGAGACAAAAACCTCAATACAGAGCAGTAAATTTAGGCCAGACAAATGACAAATATCAAAAACTAACCAACCCCAGTTACCATTTTAATTCACTTTTTTCTCTATATATAAATAAATGAATTGCTGTTATTATTGAGGCCCACCTGCACTACTTTTGTAGTCCACTAGGGGCCCCCAGGCCACACTTTGGGAACCACTGCTTTAGATTAACGAAACATTTCAGCATAACATAGAGACATGAGACATATTGTCGAAACTGCACTTCACTTTCTTAAGACATCTCAGGGATTTGTATGTAGTTAAACATCTTTACAGTGAAACAAACGGGGACGATTTGGCAGTATCTTTTTAAAGGTTATTAGGCAACGGTTCATACTGACTAACAATCAAATTGGGCTGTACCTAGTGACTTTCACACCGTTGATATAAAGTCTGAATGCTTCCTGAAGCAACTATATGATCTAAACAGATAAATTCAAGCCAATTACATGGCAACAAGCCAATGGAAGACAACCTGCTGAAGTTCACACCGAGCATCAGGATGGGGAAGAGAGGAGATTTAAGTCACTTTAAATGTGACATGGCTGAGTGGTTTGAGAAAATGAGAAACTGCTGATGTACTGGGAGTGCTCCAGTATATAAGGTTGACCTCCCCAGTCACCAGATCTCAGATCAGTAGAGCACCTTTGGCATGTGATAGAATGGGAGAATCAGACAGTTCAGTTAATAAAGCAAGTGAGTGTATTTGAGAACAGCTGGATAAACTACTAGTGATGTATTCAGGATCTAACCACTGTTGCTGTGTGTTATGAACGAGACACTCCAAGTTTTCTTTTATAATAATCTCTAATAATATATTTAAGTAAAAAAACAGAATATTTACAGTTTAGATACACTTTTTTTTTAACAAATTAGAATAATATTTACATATAAATATAAAGGAACATTTTATAGTGCTGTACAAACAGAACACACAAATACACAAAAAAGTCAATTACATCAGTTTGTTTTTGTAAATAAAGGAGTTTTTTTTATCGACAGTGTCGTATGTCGTTTTTCATTTCTGAAAGAAGAAACAAGAAAACATTTCTGCCTCTAATGTTCTACTTTTTCTAATGTTAATTCAGTTCTCACGGATAAGCATACATCGCAGCCACTAGTTTTGGACGTTGCACCCAGAGGAAAACGTTTGCCTGCAAATGGCACAAAGATGAAGCTGATAGTTTGCTATGATTTTGACATTTGAGCATCAGTTAGCTACATCTGGTTGGGACGACACATTTGGGACAAAGTGGACAGATGGGAGTCTTTTTGAAGATAAAGGACAGCAAGCCTGTCCCAGTATCCACGTTTACACCTCAGTACCTCCAGGTAGTCAGAAATCTATTCAAACCAATCAAGTTATCAGCATTAAAGGAACTGAATGTTTACTTTTGGACCAACTTTAAGAACGACTGAATATCATTTAAATCTAAAGAATTGTTTCCATCATCATCGTTTTTAGTCTCACAAATTAAATTATCTTAATCCTTATGAGATCGATACGAATATGTATATCTGATGATGTGTTCTGGTTGGTATGAGGAGCACAGATGGTCACTGAGAATCATAAGAATGTATTTGTAAAATTAAACTTAATTAATTATATGTAATAATTATCTGAATTACTTTTTTAATACTATTCAACTTCTGTGCTGGCATCATTAAAGTTCTTCTTGCTCTCATCCATTTAAGCTCAATATTAAAGCTATACTTTATATCATTTTCAAAACTTGTAAACCATCCATCCATTTCCCTTTATCTATGCGCTGGAGTGCTGGAGCCTATCCCAGCTGTCACAGGGCATGAGGGAGAGGACAATCTAGACAGTTTGTTAGACCATTGCTAGGCCAACGCAGAAACATCAATGTTTTTTAATGCTAGCATTTGGTGTCACAGCGCCCCTTTGTGGCCAAAACACATCACAACCATTGCTCACTTTACATGAAACATCAGGAATTTGCAGCAGATTTCTGATTTCCTTTTACAGATGCTTGATCCCTTAGAGAGCTTGGTAGATTTTTTTTTAGAAAGTTTGCCATGATGGAAATATCTCACTGAGTGTAGATTTGTCAAGGTGAGAGTCTAGTTTGTATAGTTTTCTCCATGTTTAAGGTGCAGTCCAGTGCACAGTCTTCTGCACTGATTTCAGCTGCTTTGGTGTCCTCTGGTTTCAGTTACAGTTCAGTAAGCCGCCTGTGAAAGTCCTCACGTCTTTGTGTAGGGCTTCTGGAGACACAGTGAGCCGTGGTGAGGAAGAGGTCTGTAGTGGTAGTGTTCGATCAGTGTAGACAGATTGGGGAAGGTCAAATCAGCTTCCAGAAATATACAGTCACCCTGCCAAAACACCCAACAGGAAGCTTTAGCATTAGTCTGACCTGTAACTTACTTACAAAACATAATAGGCACTTATACCATACAGCTAAAATACAACAGCAGGTTTCTTACCTCTTCAAACAGTCTGTAGTTTCTGGCTTTGCCTATACTGATGTCCCACACCACCAGCACCTGGATAACACACCAAAAATGATTTTATTTAGGCCTAAATATCAGAAGCTCTTCTATTATTATTAAAATAATACTGTCTACCCACAAACTGTAAAAAATAAAAATGGACACATTTATTGATTAGATCATATTGACTGTTACTGTTTACAATTATTATTAAACCTTTTACAGCAGCGAGATAGATTTTTCAGCCCAGAATGACAAAAGATATTTCATATATGGCAATCATAATCATTAGCTTTCAGAGCTTCAGAGTTACGTAATGTTAAGTATCTATCAGTAACACAAATTTCCATTATGCTGTACTGGAAACTATTTTTTTAAAATTTATTTTTACCTTTGTTGTTTTGGTTCCTGATTTTCTGATGGCGTACAGTCCATCTTGTGGAGGAGTTGGACTCTCTTTGAATAACCTACAAACAGAAAAATGATCACCGGTTATGAGTTATCAGAGGAAAACATAAAGCAACTGCCCCATGTTAAAAGTCACTTTAAATTTAGCACTTAAATAAGTAGTAGTAGTTCAGTTAAAACTGAAGTGAGGCTCATAGAAAGAAAAACACACGCAGAAAGAAATGCACTGTTTTGCCACTACAGGGCAGAAAAAACAAAAAGCAGCACTGCTTAGTTTACTGAAGAACCGTTTCAGCTTCCAGCTAAATGTAAAAACTAAAGGTGAGATACGTACTTTTCTACGAAGCTGGTTTCATTCGAATCAATGAACACAGAGTCTGGCAGCTGGACCTGCAGATACAGAAACAACTGATTAAACTCAATTCATTACTGATACTAGGCTCTCACGAGGCTGAGATCTCTGCTCAGATATACAGCAGTGAAACATAAAGAACAAAATTGTGTGTTATAATAACTACACAGGTCACATAAAGATACTACAGTTTAGATCATAAGCATGTCGGCCTGGCACTGCCTGTAACAAAGCATGGCTCAAATTTCAATATCTTGTTTCAGTGTTTAATAAAAATTGAATTGCTTCAACTTCATGATTTGAAAAATTGGCATAAAATAGAGTTGTTTTAGCAGAAAATGAGATTATTATGATTGGATTATGACTTCCTCCCACCTGAGCGCCTCAGAATCAGCTGATGCTGTGATTTTTGTTTCTTTTTCGTTTGCTTTAGTGAATTTTGAAGGCAGTTCATAAAGACTAATATGCAGCCCAGATAAAATGACTTTTAAAACAAAAGGGATTTCCCTGGGCTCAGTCATGATGATACAAGTGGTTATCTAAAGCAGCATGGATTTCCACAGTAATTTAGCATTTTTATCAGCTGACACATCATTTCAGTCTCTCTTACATTCTCATAGTCTTCGTCAGAGTCGTACGCGGTCGAGTCTCGTTTCCTCCTGAAATCTGCAGTTTCGTCGTTGATGGAACGGAAGCTCTGGCCCTCTGGAGATGTTCTTCTGGTGAAAAAACATGCCTTAGTGATGCAGGGAAACTTTTATGTTGTCTTTACATACCTATTTTATACATGAACCAACAAAACAGTGTCAGTAAGACAGCTTTAGAATGATTGTGGATGTTTTCCTTTCAATTAATTTTTTGATCATAAAAATCAACCTGAATTTCACTGTTTAAGTCAGACTTACTGAAACGGTGTTCCTGGCGACTTGGGCCTGGGTGGAGCCGTTGATGGCTTGACTCCTACTAAAGGTAAAGGAGGTTTGGGTATAGATGGCTTATTGAGTAGTCCAGGTTTAGGTAGCGGGGAGTGTGAAGAGTGACTGGAGGACATTAGATTGAGAGATACATTTGTGTTTGGGCATGGTGGAACCGGCATGTTCGGCTTATTACGGCGGTAGCTGTTTTCTAGTGACTGGCTCCCGCCAGAGTGAGGGGGACAGGGGCCATTTAGGATTAGCCTGTCTAGTTTTTCACAGATGGGCAAAGTAGCTGGTGACTGGACTGAAACAGACGGCGTAGGCCTCCAGTCTCTTTTGTCATTTGCTGTTACTCCCACGGAGGTTGACCTGCCTGGTTTCTTTGCATTGGGAGGAATAGGTGGAGGTGTGGAAGGAAAAGGATTCTGTAAGTGAGGGGCAAAAGGTAAAGGTGGGGGTGGGCCTTTGGTAGACTCCTTCTTTATGCACGGAGAGGGTGGACAAGGTGAAGGTTTCCTGTGGAGCGGAGAGGTAGGGGCTTTCAGTTGTAATGGGATGGGAGGGTGGAGGCTTTTTTGGCCTGGACTGGAGTCTTGATGGTGGGGGAATGTCATTGGCACAGGTGGAGGAGGGTAAGAGGGCGGTGGACCTGTGGGTCGACCTGACGAGGTAATGAATAGAGAGAGTCAGTATTGCTTCCTGTTTCAGGTAAAGATCTTTGTGTTAAGGAGCCATACGTACAGGGAAAGAATATGAGGTGGTCACCTGAAGATGTTGGCGAACATTCACTGTCTGGCTTCAGATAGTCCTCCTCATCGTCATCATCATCGTCATCACTGTAATCTTCACATAGAAAGAAGAGGTGCAACAATTTATTAATGCACAAATGCCATATAAGCTTTTATCTTATCCATGGATATTCATTATTGCTGTCTTACTAATTTCGGTGGTATCAACAAGATGTTTCACATCCATCGGCCTCTCGATTGTGCCATAGAAACTGTCTGCATCTGAATCTGAGTCACTGTCACAAACAAAGATGGAGACATAATTAACAAATAATATGCCAAAAAATGGATTTTATTGACTGCAGGCTCACTGAGATTTCAATGAAAGTACGCGAGCAAGAAAAATCTAAATTAGGTAGAAAAGGTCACACTGAAAAACGTAGATGACTAATGAAGCATAAATGGTATAAAATTATTTTTAGACACGTTTTTCCATTATTTTTTTTCTTTCAGCTTTTATAGAGGTGGTCACACTTGCTGATGATTGGCTAACTGTGCATTTAATTGACCACACCTGGCTGCTATTACCTCTTAATTCCTATGGAAGCAGTAAGGCTGTACTTGGGTTTTCACAGCACTAAGTACTTTATTTGTCCCATGTCTGTAGTTTTCTTACAACAATGCATGTATAATCTTTAATTTTATAGAGTGGTGAAATATGACCGAGTTCGCTGAGGTTACCTTGGTAGGTGGGACTCTTTCCTGTCGTTATAGTGGTCTATTTCTTTCCGAAGGTATCGCATCCATTTCTGTAAGACATCAAGCAAAATACAACACGTGACAATGTGAAACTGCAGCATTTAAATTAAAACAAACCCCAAACAATTTTAGCATAAAGACTGAAATAATACGAGACAAAGGCAAAGACTAAAAATTCTTCTCAGGCTCTAAAGTTATGCTAAGTTCTCAATAAATCGCTTGGCAGGGAGGTCAAATTTTTGTACTCTTACCCTCCTCTCATCCTCACTGGCTGCTGAGAAGAACCACGTCCTGTGTTTCTTACTGAAGTGGACGATCTTGAAAGGAAAAACATTGCTCGATGTTGTCTCCTCTGCTGCTCTCATCACTCTGAAGAAGAGGACAAATGTAAGATATATTAGTGCTCCACATTATTTGATGTCATGGGAAATGTGCAATAACAGCAACAAAGAACACCTGGGTGCTGCTAATGAGCCCCCTGTAATTGATATAATACAACCTTATTTGGATGTAATATACATAAGTATGAAAGAGATCAAGGAGTTTGTTGTAAATAATTTTAGTCTGAATTATTGCTGAATCACTGGCATTGATTGAGGCTGGGATCAGACAACCTTCTTCCCTCCTTAAAGCCCCATTCACACATACTGTATAGACTAGGAAATGCAACAAGATGGCAATCACTCTCTGTGGGGAAGCCCTGAAGAAACATCCTGAGCTTCTTCACCATCCCTTCATCAATCAAATGTCACAAAGCAGCAAACATGAGGGAATCTAAATACAGCGATGTTTTGATGGGGATGTTTGCCACACTTTTTGTGAGGCAGCTGTTATCTGCTAAGTGTTGCTTCCTGGGGACTTTTTCAGGTGCCCTGACAGCTGCCTACTGTAAACACTCCCTCCCTCTCCCTCTCTCTTGATGGCAGCCTGGCCAGCTATCTACATATATTTGTTCTTTTCAGTTTTAAGAACACTCCTTTATATACCCTTGATCTCAAGTCTAACATTCCTGGAGCTTCAGGTGTACTCGGTACTGAAGGCCCATTTTTAAAGCAAGTACTTAACCTTTTCCTGCATTAAACCTTATTATCTACAATTACCATTTACATAGATGTCATGCTGTAATAAAGCTTAAATTAAACCGGTGGGATGTGAGCATCGCTGGGGCTGAGACCCAGAATAATAAAGCCCCGAATAAGCATACAAAACATTATGGGTCCAAAGGAGAGAGTAACAGTCTAATCACAGTAGTCAAAAAACACGTGGGTTTCTGCGGCTCAGGAGGAAGTAACACCCATGTCAGAATCATTAACCTCAAAGTGCACCTAATCTTCACACAACAATATATAGACGTTGGCACAGGCTTCACCCTTGAGCCCGAAGCACGCAGTTTAGTATGTTTATTTATGTAGGAAAATGTCTTCTACTGACCTGTTGTAGCCATTGAGAGAAAACGCCCCCTGTGGTGCAGCAGAGGTACTGCTCTTAAAGTAGTACACGCAGCCCTTGTGGATGATGATGTACCTCAGTGGCCCTGTAAGGCAAGCAATATGTATTAAGAATGTTTTCATGGTGGTGTAAAAGGTGCTGTATCAGTGATGAGAATGTAAGTGGATATTGCTCTTTCATGTCTGCCTTTCAACTCACATTTCATTAGGCTGAATTGGCTGCCTCCCTTCTTGTGGAGGTATCCTGCAGTGGCTACCCCTCCTGGCATGGTGAGGAGGTTCTGAGCCCCAATGGCTCGCATTGGCACCGGCCAGCACATCTCTGGAGATGACATGGTTCTACGGCAGAGCAAAGGACAGAATATTTTTCTGTCAGTCAGGTGAAACTGTAATCTCTCTAGTCGCACAAGATCGCAGAAATGAATAAGGAAATGAACGCCAGCATAAATAAGCTAACAAACAAAAACCAAGTAGCTTCAAGGAGGCAGCACAGAGGCAGGACCACATCCTCTCTGCTAGCAAACCTGCTTCCTATCCCCTTTAGCTTGAGGACGTTCTGAGCTACATCAGCTCTCACACAGAACACTAGAAGGCACTCAGCAGTTCATAACAAAACAAAAAATGACTTATTTGTTCTCCCATATACCCTGAAACATATTTGGAGCAGAGATGGTGATAAGACCACCTCAGACTTAAGACCGGCCACTCAAAACATCCAACGGCGAAGCCTGTTTTTGGGCTGTGAACGCTCATAGAAGTGGAATTATAAAGTGATGAACAAATTAGTACTCATAAAACACCTCTCTACTCAGCTGTGCACTCAAAGCAGCGACAAGTCTCATTCACACAGTCACACATTCATACTGAGCTTTCATCCAAGCCTAAGTGCTTTCCAACATTTATGCAGGCAGCAGGGGAACCTCGGGGTTCAGTGTCTTGCCCAAAGATTAGCCGTCCTGGAAACACCTAAACCAAATAACTAGTCCTGAGCAGAACCATTTCTCAACAGCTATTAAATATTAATTATTTCATGATTTATATCATCAATAAAAAAAAAACAGCATTTATTTTGTAGAATTAAAAATCGGTTAGTTAATGACTGCTGGATAAGCAGTCATGACAGGGAGTGAGTAAAACAAAATGACTATTTCACTCCATTTCTGTTAATCTAAAATAAATTACATTTATTACTCAGTCAAATTCCGTAGTAACATGAGTAATGCTCGGCTACCAGTCTGGTGTGGATAGGAATCTCTAATCATTAGTTGTGAATCAAAAGTCACAAACTAAAGACAAACAAATTGTGACACTGTCAGAAATGAAGGATCAACTAAGATAACATATCATGTGCTATGAAACTCTATACTGCTAATGGGACACATGCCAGTGGACTAGCAGATGGAGAGTTATAGCCATGCTGTGTCCACTGTGCTGCTCAGGAAATGCTGCCTGGCTTGGGTAGCTCACCACAGCTGGACAAAGATCACTAAAAGAATGAAACATCTTTTCGTCAATTTCAAAAACTTTTCTTCTGCAAATTCCTGCTCTTACACCTGATGCAGGTGTTGCCTACCTCCTGTTGAGCTTCTTGGTGAAGATCTGAATGGCAGCGTTCTTCCTCAGTATGCTGACTGTGGAGGCTAACATAGTAGAAGCTAAAGCTGGCAGGATATCCATAATAGAAACAAGAAACCTTTTGTTTCTTTCCTCTGTGGCATTTACTGTCCCATCAAATCCAAACTGAGGGCGATTTAGCCATCCAATTTTTAAGTCTGTCTTATTTTCTGCTTTTTGCCGCAGCTCTCTCTGACGGCCTCTGCTGATATCTATCTGTCTCACTCATAAAGACACTCAGACTAAGGTGGTGGACCTACGTAACAGGAACCTTGAATTTTTGCATGGGCAAAGGCACATATTTAGTTCACACAGGAAATGCATAACATCCTGTGTCCTTTTTTGAGTCTTCAAGGTGTAATGTGAAAAAAAAAATGTGGGTGTGATAGAAAGAGACAGGGGGTGGGGGTAGTGAAAATAAACATTACTTCATGATCTAAAGTGTTTATGTATAACTTGCAGTTTATCACCAGCATCTATCACCAGCATCTGCTAGCCTGAGTTGGAAAGAAGTCAAGGAATGAAGTATTTAGGAGGATTTAGTTGGTGCCAAAATCCACCCCCTTTCCCTGAGATAAAAAGACCTTGAGAATTAAATGGGCATGCATTCATTTACTGATGTTGAAGCGCAGATCCTGGCAGGGCTGCTTTAAAAAAACAAGACACCTTGAAAATGACTCATGCCAAAGTCAGTTTTTGTGTTATGCTTTAGACTTCAGAGTATTTCAAATAAACTAGGTGAGGCGATGATGAATGAATGAGGATAAACACCCCACACTTTAGAGTAAAATTTAATTACATGCAGGAGATAAAAAAAAAAGAGCGACTTAAAGCTCTGCTTATTTCTGAAGGTCTGTTTTTAGAAAAAAACAAACTGTTGCAGGAACGTGGGCCCCTTTGACTCAACCAATGACAATGTGGTTTCCAAGACATTGTTTGAAGCATACTGTTGATTCAAGCATACTGTTTGATAGTTGGCTAACCTGCTGTTAGCCAACTAGCAAGTGTTGGGTAACACTAACACAACAGCATGGTTTATCATAGGATATTGTATGCACTTACACTTGTTAGTTTGACTGCACTCAAAATAGCGAGCACAAAAACAGAAGTAGGTCGTGTCAGAATCAACTAACCACAGCTAGCATGTTTACATATGTCACACATGCTAGCGATTAGCATGCCAGCTCATGTAGTGAACTATTTGCTCTAATCTGTAGCACCATTTAGGGTGTGCATAAGAGCTCCTCCTCTGTTAGATGTTTTAGTGACCAGGTAACTGAATCATTTAAAATCAGCCTCAGTCTCTTATATACCAAAGAGATTTAGAGGAAATGTATTTATTCTGCTCTGAATATTCTGAATGGTGAGAATATGATCGAACATAATTAAACAATATTGCTTGATAATGAAGATGAGGAATAGAAATATTGCAACAGTTTAGACTGAAGAAGCTGTGGTTAGGGCAAAGTCTGCCAGGACTTGCAGCAGCTCCCCCGCTCTGGCAGATCCGCTCCACATCACCACACCCTGGTCATAATTCAACCAAAGTAGCCTACTTTGAGAACTAGAACAAAATGTATTTGCACGGACAGATGGAAGGAGTTAAACCTGTTAGCTGATAACACATGCAGGCCTCAAACACATCACAGGGTGAAACTTCAGCCTGTTTATGACCTCAGTCTGCCCTCCTTCATATCTGTGTGTGTGGGGGGGACTTCAAAAGGACATACCAAAGCTATCTCGTGGTTCGTTTTTCGCCTGGGCCCATGTAATGTTTACTGATAACTATCTGATACAGACCTCAGCACAGACACAAACGAACAGGCACGCCAGACATTCTGCACTTCATCTCATCTCAGCCCGAGTGAGGTCAGCTGCCGCTTATCATCCGATACGGATTTCATGAAGTCCTCATCTTCACGACAGAAACAGCACGATGGCAATGTGACTGCGTACTCAACACCTTTATGTTTTCTGGGAAATGTGTTAATTCTTTTTCCACTGGAGAAAGATCAGAGTCAAAAGTAGTAGTGGGAATTTGTGGGAATTAGCGAACCCCCCAAACCCCCACTGGTTTCTTCTGCAGTTCTCTCCTTGAACTCATGTTTTGCTGTGTCTTTTGTTCAACTCTCATAATCTGCATGGCCGTCAAACTGTATTTAAAAAAGAAACCAAAACATACATGCATCCAAACATCCATAAGCCTCGTATGGTACCTAAACTTAAGTTACCTAAGTTACTCAATCATCACTGTAGCATAGTTTGCACACAGTTAGCCAAACAATCCCACAGGTAGCACTGAATATTTGGCCCAAATGTGGCCCACATCAGCACATCTTGACTTGGTTGCTTCAACTTAGCCTAATAATTCAACTTTGCTCTCAAAAATCATATTTAATATCATCCAAATGAAGACATTCTTTAAATATAGCAGAGCAGAGACGGCATGGAAAGGAAATCCTGTCCAAATAAATAAAAAAGAATTTCCCCTAGTAGTGTTGCATTAGATCACTTCCTAACAAGTAAAACAATGAAACACAAAGTTTCCCCATCAGCACGCTGACAGGCTTTCTGGATGCTGATATCACATTTGCTTCTCCCATCATGTGGTTCTTGCATGACTTATTTAATGACCAAAATTCGGTGACCAGAAAAACCCCCATAAAAAAAACCAAACTTCTGCCAAATACAATCGGGCTTGCCGTGGGTTCATCGTGAAAGAACAAAAAAAAAAAGGCAGTGTGATTTAGCTTCAAACCCGCTCACCTCAGCTACTGCTTTTTTAAAGTTCCTGAAGAGATGCTAATCAGAGAACTGCTGTTTCTCAGGAAGAGACTCACAGCCCACATACCAGACACATTCAAACACATTTCCTCTCTGGACACAAACACAATGTCTGCCCCGAGCGGTAGTTTAAAATTATCTTCCACATTTAAACTGTGTGCCAGTGCCTATTTGCTCTTCACCTGAGATGGAAGTTAAAGTTTAGTTCAATGCCTGCAAATTAATCAAGAGTAGAAATCAGCAGACATCGTGACAAAAGTAAATAGAATCCAGCTATCATTCACGTAGCATCTAAATTTGTCTTTACGAGAAGATGACTGTGAAAAAACTACTGCAGGAAAAAGACAAAGACAACGAAATGCCGGGCCAACGATTCAAGTCGTACACAACGTGTCCTCATCTCAGATACGCTCTCCAGCAAGCTGAAGAAACTCAGAAGAGGGCATGAAGACACTATAGGCTGCATGGTGTAATGTGTGGACTCATGTTAGCAGGCTGACTGTTCATTTTCAAATTGAAATTGAAACTAGTTCAGTTTTCGAATGGAAATCCCCCCGATGATTCAAGTCCTAGGAACTGTTTGTGTGAGCTCATAGAACAGTGCTGTTGCAAAGGAATACAAGCAAACTCTTTCTAATTAACAGAATACAGCACAGTATGTTCCACTGGATGACATTAGATTTCAAATTAAATGGGTTAAAGTTGTAACTTATAGTGATACAATATAAATTAAAACAAATGCAGAGACTTTAACATGATCTTTTTATTGAAGAAGCTTTCTGTGCTCAACCTAACTTATCCTCATATTATGGGACCTTTAAGGCACAGCTCAGGGGAAGAAAACCTTTACTGCCAAAAGTACTCCATGATTGAAAAGCCTCGTGCATCCACCAGCATGGATGTGAAAAGCCTTAAATTAAACCTGAGAAGGAATACTTCCC